ACATTAGGCATTTTTGCGGTGCCATTTCGAAGCTTTTCCGTCCTTCACTGCCATGGGGATTTGCCGCTGGGAGTAGTTCGCTTTTAGGCGTCGCAGCTAGCCACCAGCAGCAGCAGCAACAGCAGCAGCAGCAGTAGGAGCGTCTTCAGCAGCAGGAGAAAAAGTAGCTAAAATCATCATTTTCTATTGGTTTCAGAAGTTACGTTAGACCTTTTTGCGGTGCAATTTCGGAACCTTTCCGTCCTTCACTGCCATGGGGATTTGCCGCTGGCAGTGGTTCGCTTTTAGGCGTCGCAGCTAGACACCAGCAGCAGCACCTGCAGCAGCAGCAGCAGCAGTAGGGATCCGTCCTTCACTGCCATGGGGATTTGCCGCTGGGAGTGGTTCGCTTTTAGGCGTCGCAGCTAGCCACCAGCAGCAGCAGCAGCAGGAGTGTCTTCAGCAGCAGGAGAAAAAAGTAGCTAAAATCATCATTTTCTATGGGTTTCAGAAGTTACATTAGGCATTTTTGCGGTGCCATTTCGAAGTTTTTCCGTCCTTCACTGCCATGGGGATTTGCCGCTGGGAGTGGTTCGCTTTTAGGCGTCGCAGCTAGCCACCAGCAGCAGCAGCAGCAGCAGGAGCGTCTTCAGCAGCAGGAGCGTCTTCAGCAGCAGGAGAAAAAAGTAGCTAAAATCATCTTTTCTATGGGTTTCAGAAGTTACGTTAAGCATTTTTGCGGTGCAATTTCGAAGCTTTTCCGTCCTTCACTGCCATGGGGATTTGCTGCTGGGAGTAGTTCACTTTTAGGCGTCGCAGCTAGCCACCAGCAGCAGCTTCAGCAGCAGGAGAAAAAAGTAGCAAACAATCACATCAGTTCTATGGGTTTCAGAATTACGTTAGGCATTTTGCTGGTTGCAATTTCGGAACTTTCAGTCATTTCACTTGCCATGGGGATTTGCCGCTGGGAGTAGTTCACTTTTAGGCGTCGCAGCTAGCCACCAGCAGCAGCTTCAGCAGCAGGAGAAAAAAGTAGCTAAAATCATCACATCGGTTTCTATGGGTTTCAGAAGTTACGTTAGGCATTTTTGCGGTGCAATTTCAGAACCTTTCCGTCCTTCACTGCCATGGGGATTTGCCGCTGGGAGTGGTTCGCTTTTAGGCGTCGCAGCTAGACACCAGCAGCAGCAGCAGCAGCAGCAGCAGCAGCAGCAGTAGGAGCGTCTTCAGCAGCAGGAGAGAAAAGTAGCTAAAATCATCATTTTCTATGGGTTTCAGAAGTTACGTTAGGCATGTTTGCGGTGCAATTTCGAAACTTTTCCGATCTTCACTGCCATGGGGATTTGCCGCGGGAGTGAGTGGTTCGCTTTTAGGCGTCGCAGCTAGCCACCAGCAGCAGCAGCAGCAGCAGCAGTAGGAGCGTCTTCAGCAGCAGGAGAAAAAGTAGCTAAAATCATCATTTTCTATGGGTTTCAGAAGTTACGTTAGACATTTTTGCGGTGCAATTTCGGAACCTTTCCGTCCTTCACTGCCATGGGGATTTGCCGCTGGGAGTGGTTCGCTCTTAGGCGTCGCAGCTAGACACCAGCAGCAGCAGCTGCAGCAGCAGCAGCTGTAGGGATCCGTCCTTCACTGCCATGGGGATTTGCCGCTGGGAGTGGTTCGCTTTTAGGCGTCGCAGCTAGCCACCAGCAGCAGCAGCAGCAGCAGGAGTGTCTTCAGCAGCAGGAGAAAAAAGTAGCTAAAATCATCATTTTCTATGGGTTTCAGAAGTTATACGTTAGGCATTTTTGCGGTGCAATTTCGGAACCTTTCCGGCCTTCACTGCCATGGGGATTTGCCGCTGGGAGTGGTTCGCTTTTAGGCGTCGCAGCTAGCCACCAGCAGCAGCAGCAGCAGCAGCAGCAGCAGGAGTGTCTTCAGCAGCAGGAGAAAAAAGTAGCTAAAATCATCATTTTCTATGGGTTTCAGAAGTTACGTTAGGCATGTTTGCGGTGCAATTTCGAAACTTTTCCGTCCTTTACTGCCATGGGGATTTGCCGCTGGGAGTGGTTCGCTTTTAGGCGTCGCAGCTAGCCACCAGCAGCCAGCAGCAGCAGCAGCAGCAGCAGCAGGAGCGTCTTCAGCAGCAGGAGCGTCTTCAGCAGCAGGAGAAAAAAGTAGCTAAAATCATCTTTTCTATGGATTTCAGAAGTTACGTTAGGCATTTTTGCGGTGCAATTTCGAAGCTTTTCCGTCCTTCACTGCCATGGGGATTTGCCGCTGGGAGTAGATCACTTTTAGGCGTCGCAGCTAGCCACCAGCAGCAGCTTCAGCAGCAGGAGAAAAAAGTAGCTAAAATCATCACATCGGTTTCTATGGGTTTCAGAAGTTACGTTAGGCATTTTTGCGGTGCAATTTCGGAACCTTTCCGTCCTTCACTGCCATGGGGATTTGCCGCTGGGAGTGGTTCGCTTTTAGGCGTCGCAGCTAGACACCAGCAGCAGCAACAGAAGCGTCTCCAGGAGCAGGAGAAAAAAGTAGCTAAAATCATCATTTTCTATGGGTTTCAGAAGTTACGTTAGGCATTTTTGCGGTGCAATTTCGAAACTTTTCCGTCCTTTACTGCCATGGGGATTTGCCGCTGGGAGTGGTTCGCTTTTAGGCGTTGCAGCTAGCCACCAGCAGCAGCAGCAGCAGCAGTAGGAGCGTCTTCAGCAGCAGGAGAAAAAAGTAGCTAAAAAATGATCATTTTCTATGGGTTTCAGAAGTTACATTAGGCATTTTTGCGGTGCCATTTCGAAGCTTTTCCGTCCTTCACTGCCATGGGGATTTGCCGCTGGGAGTGGTTCGCTTTTAGGCGTCGCAGCTAGCCACCAGCAGCAGCAGCAGCAACAGCAGCAGCAGCAGTAGGAGCGTCTTCAGCAGCAGGAGAAAAAGTAGCTAAAATCATCATTTTCTATGGGTTTCAGAAGTTACGTTAGACATTTTTGCGGTGCAATTTCGGAACCTTTCCGTCCTTCACTGCCATGGGGATTTGCCGCTGGGAGTGGTTCGCTTTTAGGCGTCGCAGCTAGACACCAGTAGCAGCAGCTGCAGCAGCAGCAGCAGTAGGGATCCGTCCTTCACTGCCATGGGGATTTGCCGCTGGGAGTGGTTCGCTTTTAGGCGTCGCAGCTAGCCACCGGCAGCAGCAGCAGCAGCAGCAGCAGGAGTGTCTTCAGCAGCAGGAGAAAAAAGTAGCTAAAATCATCATTTTCTATGGGTTTCAGAAGTTACGTTAGACATTTTTGCGGTGCAATTTCGAAGCTTTTCCGTCCTTCACTGCCATGGGGATTTGCCGCTGGGAGTGGTTCGCTTTTAGGCGTCGCAGCTAGCCACCAGCAGCAGCAGCAGCAGCAGCAGCAGCAGGAGCGTCTTCAGCATCAGGAGCGTCTTCAGCAGCAGGAGAAAAAAGTAGCTAAAATCATCTTTTCTATGGGTTTCAGAAGTTACGTTAGGCATTTTTGCGATGCAATTTCGAAGCTTTTCCGTCCTTCACTGCCATGGGGATTTGCCGCTGGGAGTAGTTCACTTTTAGGCGTCGCAGCTAGCCACCAGCAGCAGCTTCAGCAGCAGGAGAAAAAAGTAGCTAAAATCATCACATCAGTTTCTATGGGTTTCAGGAGTTACGTTAGGCATTTTTGCGGTGCAATTTCGGAACCTTTCCGTCCTTCACTGCCATGGGGATTTGCCGCTGGGAGTGGTTCGCTTTTAGGCGTCGCAGCTAGACACCAGCAGCAGCAACAGGAGCGTCTCCAGGAGCAGGAGAAAAAAGTACCTAAAATCATCATTTTCTATGGGTTCCAGAAGTTACGTTAGGCATTTTTGCGGTGCAATTTCGAAGCTTTTCCGTCCTTCACTGCCATGGGGATTTGCCGCTGGGAGTGGTTCGCTTTTAGGCGTCGCAGCTAGCAACCAGCAGCAGCAGCAGCAACAGTAGGAGCGTCTTCACCAGCAGGAGAAAAAAGTAGCTAAAATCATCATTTTCTATGGGTTTCAGAAGTTACGTTAGGCATTTTTGCGGTGCAATTTCGGAACCTTTCCGTCCTTCACTGCCATGGGGATTTGCCGCTGGGAGTGGTTCGCTTTTAGGCGTCGCAGCTAGACACCAGCAGCAGCAGCTGCAGCAGCAGCAGCACTAGCAGCAGCAGCAGTAGGAGCGTCTTCAGCAGCAGGAGAAAAAAGTAGCTAAAATCATCATTTTCTATGGGTTTCAGAAGTTACGTTAGGCATTTTTGCGGTGCAATTTCGAAGCTTTTCCGTCCTTCACTGCCATGGGGATTTGCGGCTGGGAGTGGTTCGCTTTTAGGCGTCGCAGCTAGCCACCAGCAGCAGCAGCAGCAGCAGGAGAAAAAAGTAGCTAAAATCATCACATCAGTTTCTATGGGTTTCAGAAGTTACGTTAGGCATTTTTGCGGTGCAATTTCGGAACCTTTCCGTCCTTCACTGCCATGGGGATTTGCCGCTGGGAGTGGTTCGCTTTTAGGCGTCGCAGCTAGCAACCAGCAGCAGCAGCAGCAGCAGCAGCAACAGTAGGAGCGTCTTCAGCAGCAGGAGAGTTAGGCTGCAATTTTCTTAGATCAAGTCGTGTCTTTGGTACCGGAGCATACTACTTGCCAACATTTTGTTCCACATCTTTTCCCGTTTGGTTTTTTGTGCGCTACCCGTATGCGGCCAAAGCGTTTCGTGCTTTGCACTTCTGTTAAACATGATGGACACTGATGTGTGAAAAAGCTCTGAATCACTGTGCCACCGCGAACACGGAAGCGGACACCACAATGCTGTTGTTTCGCATCAACTTGTCCATCAGTGACAGTACTACGGACCTGTGTCTCACAATGAGGACATATATATTCATAGACCGGCTTTCTCTGCAAGATAGTAGTTGCTTCCGGGGTCGGCGGCAGGGGCGGCAGCCCTTAAAATATTGTACATTTATTGTACGTAATAATATCAAGTCATATCAAGTCATGAATTTCTTTGCTCCTGAGATATCTGCGTCATTCGAAAAAATCTCCAGCAGTTTTTTTAGCTCCGGACTCGAGAGCTGCATCGCAGGCTTTGATGGCCTGGCGAAATCGGGGAGCCGAATGGGAGCCACTCGAACCGTCACTGGGCCCATTGGTGACTTCATGTGAGTCTCATGTGACTTCTTACATCTTCTACTGCAAACATATTTCATTTCTGCAAACTCGGAAACCGAACAATGCAGTGCAGTGTTTCTACCAACGTACTGCTGAACCTCATCAAACTTGTCCAACTTCTGCTTGCATGCCGCCAAATTCAAAGCACACCTTACGAGAAACCGAGTGCGATTGCGTACAGACAAAACACACGAACGAACCAGTCAACAACTAGACGCAAGTAAACAAAAGTAAAGAAAAATACATTCTGTTGAAAGGACTCACTTGCAAAAGTCCTGTCTGCATTTTCCCTGCTGAGAGTGCCACAAAGCACGATGCTTCCGTTGCCATTTGGCATCCTCTTCCGTGCAGCCCACATCATCAACTGGCATCAACCGATAAAGAGCCAAAAAAAGCATTAAAACATATCAAAACAATCCATCATGCTGAAGAAGTGCAAGTCGCACAAATTGTACCACCAGATTGCAATCTGCGACGGACGTTGATGGCCTAGAACCAGAACGTCGTCATCAATCCCTCGTTGATTCTTCCGCCAGCCAGGGTCAGTACCTTGGTATCAAAGGTCAGCTCTGAAAAATGTGTCCCGAAGTATTGCAAAGCCACGGTTTGGAGAAGGATAGAATAGATATTAGAATAGGATAGAGAATATCTATGAATATCTATGAATATCTCAGATTAAGAATCAGTGGAAAGCAAATAGGTCAGTCGTTGGACCCCAAAAGATATTTGCACAAGTATCCTGGAGACCCCTTTGTTTGGATCAAAAACGGGTTGCCAAGGACACTTAAGTTGGAATTGAGCTCAAAGTGATTCAAAGTGAACAATTGCCATTCTCCATACTGTGGGACCGGACTGTAGCAGTAGTGTACCAAAGTTGCAGCCTTTGGGTTTTCTCACCATCTTTTCTGTTTCCAGCCGATCTTGTCAATGCGTCACGACCAGTGTAAACACAACAGAGACAGAAACAAAATATCTGGCCTCCTCATATTTTTCGATGGCATCCATCCACGAGCCCTGCCTGAGAAGCCACTTTCGTCTTGCCATGTTGATGGACATGCAAACCATGAATGTCTGACGTAGAAGGCCCAACCAAATGACATCAAATGACAATGTCTTTTGAGAACACAGACATCACCATTTGCTTTACTCTTTACATGTATGCAAAAAGACCATGCAAAAAAAAAACGGTGAAACCACATGTGTCGAAAATGCAACAAAATGCAAGATCACGCGGTCTCTCGATGTCTTTCACTGCTGTCGGGCAACTTGAACAGCACGTTGCCCTCCTCCTTCAACCTGTGCTGTGATGCGCTGTGACGTGCCGTGACGTGGGACAGCTGCAATGACCCCTGGTGACCCCTGGTGACCCCTGGTGGCCCCTGGTGGCCCCGGCTGCGCCTTTCGCAGTGCACGCGCTTCTCGTCGAAGGGCAGCTGCCGCCAAACCTGACTTTGACAGGCGGGCAGGTGTCCCATGGTGTCCCTCTGAATTCCGTGTTGTCTTCGTGCTTTAAAGGGTAATAGATGATTATAGTATGGCTTAAATGCAAACAAATACTTGTGAAAGCACTGGTGAACCTTGAAATCATCCTTTTCGCCGTGGAAGAGGGTGTGCTGAACGAAGAATGGCCAGGTCCTGTGAGCGTGAAAAGTTTGTATTCAAACGTATCAATTGCTTTACCAATGCGTCCAAATTTTGTTCATCGTGCGATTCCGTGAAATAACCAAGGCACTCGTAGGTCTTCCGCTTCTCGTTCATCTGATGAGATTTGAGCTTGACCTAAGCAGTCACCATACCCATTGATCCCCACAGTACAAGATGATAAAAATCTTGAACCCTGAAGCATCACGAAACGCGAAGCCCGTGAAGCTCAAGATAGCTTCAACATGCTTCACTTCGATTTGACATGTGAGACGTGAGAATGTCTCTGGTTCCTGTCTGAGCATGTTGCTGCCTGCTGCAGAATGTTTCCAATCCTTGGTTCTAGCAAGACTCTATCCCAAACTCTGGTTATGAATACAAAAACTCGTTCATTCTAGCTGCATCTAGCTGCATTTCATCCTGTTTTTCCCATCATTATACTATGTACCAACCTCTACATCGCGAATGAATCACCACCTAAACAGCTACAACCCCTCTGAATCTTCTGGATGCTGTCTACTTTCTGTACTCTCTGGCTGAACCAACAAATTCATCTGAGCAGCTCGTTATCTCCACTGAAGAGCGACATGGCTTTGGCACGATTCAGTGGCAGCGAAGCAATGTGGATAGTTCGGCGAAGAAGGGCCGGGTAGGGGAAAACACTTCAACTTCGAAATGAGGAAAATGGGGACCCGTGCAGGCCCTTAATGGGCTCCGGATTTCTTTGTGTTGCCACTGGCGGCTTCTGTTCCTTCCCAACAAATTTGGAACCAAACAGGGTGCAAGTGATATCTGATGATATCAATACGGACTTTGCCCCAAACTGAAAGGGGGTGGGGATTTGGGCTTGAATCCTACTGTTCCATACATATCTATAGAACGTAGAAAGGAACCATTCAGTCGTCACTACATGCATCTACATGCTGCTTTTAAATGACTGTGTGCCGTGGGTGCCACTATTGGCAAAAGAAGATTCCTCACTTTGAAGGAATGCGTTCTGAGCCTCTGCAAAATGGCCAAGCACAGCCTCAGGATGCCTCAGGGTGCCTCAGATATCGAAGTTGGAATCAGAAAGAAACTACGCAGTTTGTGAAACCATCTGAGCCAGCCTTTTACATGAAAACAAGGTAAGATATGGTAAGATCAGTAAGATCCATCTGTTGCATCTTTTTGCAGCGCCGGCATTCACGGCCTCAAACTGTACAACTCTGTGCCGCAGCTGTGACTCCGAGAATTTCAGAGATTTTTTTCAAACTTTCCAAACTTTTCAAACTCTGTTCATCTCTGAGTTCATCTCTGTTCGGCTTCGGTTTGAAGTTTTTAGGTGTCAGGAATTGTCAGGATCCTCCGAGCCACGGTTTTTTTTGGTTTTGACGCTCTCTTTGAGCGGTTTCACATTGGCAGAATCATTGGCTTAACCTTGCTGTGGGCTGGCTGAATCCAGATTTAGAAGGATCAAAGGATGATGATGATGATGACATGGCATGGCTTAAATTGGATGTTTTTTTACATGGATTTTCACATTTCTTCTAGGCTTCTGACCGGCTGTGCAAAGTGCGCTGTTTGGCCTCAAAGCAACCGCTGCAGAAACAAACTGAAGCTTTGGACCTACGGCTGTGACGTCTTCAGTGTTTTACTCAGCAAACGGCGGTGCGTTCTCTTGACCAGGGCCGTCAAGCATAGCACGAAACAGCTGCCTTCCAAAGACATTTGATTTGGCTTCGAGTAGCTCAATGACATCTCAATGACCGGCCCAACCCCGTAGTTCTTTTTGAATGTTTAGCATTTACCTTGAAATTTTGGTCATTGACGTGGTCATTACGTCTAAATCTCCCTGTCCCGGGTCCTGGCACAGTCCAGCTGGGAGCGACGAGCTTGTGCTGCCTGTCTCAAGAGAGCTGCAACGGACTTCGACAGTCTTCGACTTGGGATAAGACTTGGCAGAAAGCCAATGGCACGAGGAAAATGGAAAACGATGGAAAACGCCCAGAGGTTTGACACCTCATGGCCAAACCGTTCAGCAGGTTCAGCTGAACAGTAGAAAGGCGGCAGGACGGCAGGAGCACCCTGACCCTGACCCTGACCCACCTCCTCCCGATGATCAACAGCCTCGTGCTACAGTCAGCTACAAAATGCTACAAATACACCACCAAATTCACAAAATCCTCCACTGCGTTTGAATCTTCGACAAATCTTGTCAAAATGATTCGCAAAAACTCCCACCATGGTGGATACTCGTACAGCTCTGCCTCTACGTTTCGCCGTTGTTCCTCAATCAAGTCCTGGAAGTTTGCTGCTGGGAACAAAGACCAACGCAAATCGATAAAATGTAAAAGTACTTGCAGTTACTTGCACGCAGGACTACACAGGACAATATTGGCGCTCCGACATCTGCCGATTCTTGTCCAGAACATGTCGGAGATTAGCCTTGCCAAGCATTCGATGACATCCCCTGCATGTTTTTCCATGTTTTTCCATGAATCCTTCACTACACCTTTTGAACATTTTTGAAACTTCCCTTCTGATTTACTGGCTCTCACTGGCTCTCACCGGCTCTCACCGGCTCTCAGCCACGCCTTCAACGTCTCCACTTGCACTTTGAGCTTCGCCACTTGCTCAGCTTCTCGACGCATCCTGAGTTTCTGAATTTCATCGGAGCCAAAAATTGCCAACCATGCGACACTATGCCATCAGTATGCCATCAGTATGCCATCAGTATGCCATGGTCCAAAAAATGTTCAAAATACAAATTGGAGCAGCACCTTCGTACTTCCTGTCGAAGTGTCAACAGCTCCGTGCGAGGGCATGGGCCTTGATTCCAGATTATTACTAAAAAGATCTGGAAGACAGATTTCACATTGATTTCACCATATTTCACCGCAGTTTTTGTTTTCTCGGCGTCCAAAACTGTTGTGAAATTTGCACTGCTTGTGCTGGGATTCAAACGGACCGGCATTGAAGCTCGCTCTATCCTATTGTCTGAGCAATTGCACATTCAGATCTTTCCTGCTCTCTCCTTGCTCTCTCCATCCCAGTGTCCGACTGTTTCAATCCGTTCCACTTGCAGAAACAGGCTGGGTGACGATGTCAATGATGTGCAAAAATTGACATCACTTCCATTCTCCCAGATTTTGCCTGCGCGGCATTTCGCGACCTGTGAGGAGATTGCGATCGGCAAGTGCTTCGTAGGTGCTGCAAATACGCCTTGCCTCTGGAGCTTGACAGTGCTCTCACTTCGTTGATGTAGTGCTGGTCCCAAGTGTACCTTCGAAGCTCTGCAAACTGGGTCAAATGCAGGAAATGAAATGAATGGAAATGACGGCGCCAAGCATTGAGGATGAAACATTGTTTGCGGCTGCTTCTGTGGCGTCATATGTAGCATCATGCTGAACACGAATTCTTACCTTTGTGGCTCAAATGTCTTTTTGTAACACATTTTGCTGAAGCAAAGCACGTGTCGGAGAACTTGATCAAGCTGAATACTCTGTCAGGAAGCCCCAAAAAACATATGCACAGTTTTGGCGAAAAAATCATGAAATGTCTTGAAGTCACAAATGCAATCAGCTACAGCCAAACAATCGAATCTGAATTCAGAAATGGCTACAGCAGAGCATGCAGTGCAAAATCAAAGTGTGAAACTGCAAACAATGAGCAATTGCCACAAGCCACGTTAAGCAAAGAATTTCTGCATGAAGGACCATGAACGCATGTCCCACAAATGTTCTTTTTCACCCTGAAGCTCCACCTTCAAGGCTTCTTCCGCTGCCTCTGGAGGACACGCCTTAGTGATCAGTGATGTTTATCTTAGCTCAGGCAGAGATAAGCAGAGCATTCTTCTCCTCTCCTCTCCACCCCTTCAGCAGACTTCAGCAGACTTCAGCATGCCTGCAGAAGCCAACGGAGACGCAGCAGCTGTGCCTGGCAATTTTGACAATTTTGACCGTGCAGTTCTTCAATTTTGACAATTTTTCATTCGTTG